GAGTGGCAATACCTTCAACACCAAGGACAGATACAGTCTGTCTTCTCTCCAGCCCCCAGATTTCGCTGGTTCCTGGATGCACCACCACAGCTCCGTTATATCCCACTTATGACTGTAACTTTGTTGCTTGTATCTTAACTATTTTTATTGATTTGATTTACTTATTGTACCTATGACTATTGTTAAGTGTTGTACCTTATGAGTCTTGACAAATGTATCTTTTCTTTGATGTACACTGAGAGCATATGCAGCAAGATAAATTCCTTGTGTATCCAATCCCACTTGGCCAATAAAGAATTATATTCTATTCTATAACTCCTATATAGTAATTATATACTACTAACTATACAATACTTCCTCCTTGGACATTTTTTCCCCTCTCTTAAGAAATGCTGGGTTTATTATATATTTGCACTCCGGCACCCACAAAGTTCCCCAGAAACTACATTTTGGGAAGTATTAGAAGTTAATCACACAGCATGAAGCATTGCAAATGTGATGTAGCTGGGTTTGAGCTTCTGCCTAGACAATTCAGCAATTGTTATTTCGGAAAACAGATGTCAAGAAAGAAAAACTGGGAGATCAGGAGAGACAACTGCATGAAGGGATAGTCCAATTATACGCAGGCTTCAGGACAAACTGAACTTCCACCTCTCAGGAAAGGCAACAATTCAGTTAAATTCCAACTCCCACTGTGGCCACGGGGAGAGATTATGAAAATTGCAGTCTTAACATCTGAAGGCACACAAATAATAGAATTGGCCTGTCTCAATAATTTTTTATAAACACTGCAAGAGATTCACAATTCATGCTCAAATTATTTCAATAATGTAAGGATTATTTCTATTTTTCCCCACTGGTCATTTCATATTTAATTTAAAATACCCTATTTTCTAATCCTCTTTGTGTGAGTAGTGAAAATCCTTAAAAACAGAACAAACTCAAGAAGTTTTAACTCCCCATCCCACCCTTCAAGGCTGCAAAAGCAAAGTGCTAAATGAAACAGAGGGTTTAACCAGGGGGTTGGGCTAGAAGACTTCCAAGGTCCCTTCCAGCTTTATTCTGATCGACTGAATCTTCTGATTGTTTGAAATGGAGTGCTATGCAGTCCCATTTTACTAATGGATGTACTTTAAAATTGTTCTCTTTACAAAACCTTACAGCCTGACAAAGTTCTTTTTTGAAAAAAAATTACAACCAAAGCTACAATTCCCAAGATGCCTCCAATGCAGTGACAGATAGATGATTATGTTCAAATAATAATGGCTTCCGTTCAACAAACTTGTTTTCTTCGCTGGAAAAATGTGTGAAGATAAGCAAAAGTGGGCTGGTTTTTAGACAGCTTCTTAAACGAGAGCACACCCCTGTATTTGGCTGGTATGGAATAAAAAATGCAGGACCCAAAGCAAATAATCAAGGCTCATCTATTATGTAAATACACGCCTGCATCATTTTTTTCTCCTTTTTTGAAAGGTATAAATAGCAGTGCTTGTCTTTTTCTAGATCTCTGTGTATGTTACTATGAGAGAAGGTAAACCATAACAGTGGGTTATTTGCTTTAGGTCCTGTTTATTTGATTCCACATCAAGCATAGTCTTTCATACTCTACCTGTATTTCATTTCATAGACAGAACTATGGAAAGAAACCACAAACTTGATTGAAGTAACCGTTGTAAGATAAATAATTCTTTTTTTTCCCTGAAAGAATCAATCTTCTTGTTCCTCCCCACCCAGATCTAGTTTTACAGCTCTCCTGGACAACGTTTTAATTACTTTACATAAGTTCATGCAATAAGTAACTTGAGCCTATATTGTTAAACACATCTATGTTGTTAAACACATCCTGGAACGCACCAGATCAATTTCTATCACCAAGCACAAAAGCTGCATCAACAATATTTATGCTGCACAAAACTGCATGTTGCAGCATAGTCTTTCTCTCATCAGATTCCATTGAAGTTAACTGCAAGAAAACATAATTTACCTCATTTTAGCCTCCAGTGTTGGGCAAGTACAGGCTGCATTGGTTAGCCTCTGATCTAGTGAAAATCCCGAATTTATTTCGCTAACCTCTGGCTCAGTTAAGCATGGGTAAAGGTGCTGGGTTTACACCCAACCTCTCTGCCTTTGGCAAAGCCCCAAAAGAATATTTCAAATCATAACAGGAACATGGGCATAGTCCACTTCAGAGCATTTTGCTTCAGCAATCCAATAATGATCTTCTACTGTTTAGAAAGCAAAGGCTAATCTGAAACATTCTGCAATAACCTTTGCTGACCAAAGGTTATAGGCGGTAGCCCAGTGTTGAAAAGTGTACATAGGGCAAAAACAAGGAATACCTGTTTTGACCCCTGGAGGAATAAGGTGTCTACATCTTTTGTTCATAAGGACACTACAGTTCTCTCCAAACAAGAAATGTATCATTCTTGTGTTGGCCACCAAGGTAACAGGTATCACACAATACTTTGAATTTCTTCTCAGTGTCTTAGAGCCAAATATACAGGGCAATTTTATTTAATCTGCTCAGCGACTCAGGTAGGTAGGTAGGTAGATAGTTGTGGTCTACTAAAAGTTCATGGTGGAGACAGATGGGCTAATGGCAACAATGGCTGATTAATGTGCTAGTTTTACCTGGGTTTCAAAGAGTTGAGTGGGCTTTGTTCTCTTTAAAAGGCATTGTGTAAAACTAGTTTTTAGCAGGACAAAAGTGCTATTTCCTGCTCCCAATTCTTCAGCATTTGTGACTGCGATGGCCCCTGAATGACAAGGAAAAGGGGGGGGCTGGGGCCTCAAACTCCACCACCCCTCCCCATTTCAGTGAGGGGAGATAAAAGGTCCCAAGTTTTTTTAAAAAATTTCAGACTGATAGGTGATTCTATCCACTGGGGGTCTGCTAAAAGCTCTTTATATTTGAGCATCCAGAAAAACAAAAGCAATGTGTGAATCCAACCAATGGTTTAGAAAAACCACTGAGAAAAGCATGAAAGAAAGCAGGATGGGCAACTCCCTTGCTCTTCCTGATCAACTGGTTGCAGGAAATGTGTTCGAATTGTGGAAATGTGTAAGAGGAAGAAGTGAAAATGCAAGCTTATCCCCCTTGCCAAAACATCAGAATGGGCTTGCATGCAGGATTGAGTTAGTTTCATCTGTACTATTCCTCTGGAAACAGTCCCACAGGAGCAAATGTTTTAAAAAAAAATTAAACTTTTCTTTGTAGTAGTAGTAGTAGTAGTAGTAGTAGTAGTAGTAGTAGTAAATAATAATAATAATAATAATAATAATAATAATAATAATAATAATAATAATAATAATAATAATAATAATAATAATA